AAGTTATATTGCTCACGCCTTGCTGGGAGATCAGATGAAGGGCCTTCGCTCCAGTTACTGTGATCTTCGTGGTGGACTTTCCCGACCAGTCGTCATTGTCAAACTTCACCCCCTGAAAATATACCAAGACCGTCAACCAACAACTTAAACGGTAATCGATGTACTCATTCTCTCTTCCTTGTTTCCTGAACTGCCGTGTGAGTTCGACATTTCGCGACCGTGTCTTTCAAACCTGCGTCACACCATAGCTAGCTACTCGGGTTTGACGCCTTATTCAGGGCAACTAGTGTCCTTACACTATAATATACTGTTACATATAAAGGTGCATCTACACTACAGTAAAACACGTCGAAGGGCATGACATATCACCGAGAGCCTGAAAGCAATACAACGACCCTTTTTTAAATTTTGTTAAGGTCTTATCTTCCAATAGCGATTGTTGCCTTTTTTTCGATCGATTTGCGATACTGCAAATTATACGCCAGGGCCATTATTTCGGCGTTGATTGGAGCTAGAAATCAATGATCACAACAAAATTTAATACGTCAAAAATTTGCAAACTTTAACTGAAGCACAATGTTGTTATGGTTGATAAAGAAATTATTTAATTTTAATCTGAAATCTTGGCTCCATCATCGTGACTTTGCGGTAATGGCGCTAAGTATGGAACTTTGTCATGGACGTTAATTCATGTCATGTTTTGTTTTTATGATAGTGTGGACGCACTAACGTTATATACGCACCTCGGTATAGTTGGATACATTGCACACGAGATCATGACCAGACCTCTTGCATCCTGGGGCCGTTTCCTTCAGTGCAGTATATCCTGCAGAGCAAGCGGTGCTTAGGAGAGATAGGACGACCCTGGGAAGAAAATCGGGAGAAGTTAAACGTCTTTGAGCGTGTGTGTGTGCTTGCGTGCGTGTGTGTGAGTATGTACGTGTGCATACGTGCATGTGCGTAGTTCAGTGCTTCCTACACGTTTTTTTTCAGAGATGGCAGCCCAGAGTCACATAGGCCTCTCACGGGCACTCCTTGTCTTTACCCCCTCCCCCCTCACACCTCCCACAAGGCAGAATCCACCTTCGTTCACTACACGGACTACTACTTCTCGGAACAAAATAAACAAAGATTGTAAACCTTACAACAACAACAACAACAACAAAAATACCCCCCAAAAATAAAGAATAATCAAAATATTAAAAAACAGAAAAAAAGGAGATAAACATTGACAGTAACTTACAATAAAAGCAAAAAAAAAAAAAAAAAAAAAAAAAAAAAAATGTTTTATTCCACTTCAGACTAATGAGACGATAATTATTAAAAGAAAACGGGCTTATGAACTGCGCCTATGAATCATAAGTTGTTCCAATGCAATACTAAATCATTTTTCTTGTCTGTCATTGAGATGATATAAGAATGATTCCAAACTGGAAATTCAACTATCATTTCCATCAAAGAACTTGTTGCTAATATTCTGTCTCAAATGCAGAGAGAGAGAGAGAGAGAGAGAGAGAGAGAGAGAGAGAGAGAGAGAGATAATGAGAGAGAAAAAGAGAGACTGACTGACTGGCAAACAGAGAGAGAGAGAGAGAGAAAGAGAGAGAGAGAGAGAGAGAGAGAGAGAGAGAGAGAGAGAGAGAGAGAGAGAGAGAGAGAGAGAGAGAGAGAGAGAGAGAGAGAGAGAGAGAGAGAGAGAGAGACGAGGAGACAGAGTGAGAAAGGGAGAAACAATAAGAGACATAGATAAAATCAGAGAGAGAGAGGGGGGGGGAGGGAGGGAGATATGGACAAGGAGAAACAAGAATACTCATGGATGAAGAAAAAACGAAGGATAGATAGATATATAGAGAGCGGAAGGGAGGGAGGGAGAGATGTAGATAAAAAGGGAGAGAGGGAGAGAGATGTATAGACATAGATAAAAAAGAGAGGATGGAGGGTGAGAGAGATAAAGCGAGGGAGGGAGGAAGGAAGGAAGGAAGGGAGAAATAGACAAAAGGAGGGACAGACGAAGAGTGAGAGAGGGACAGACAGAGACAGAGACAGACAGACAGACAAACAGACAACCAGCCAACCAAAGACAGACAGCCAGAGAGCGAGATAGACAGACAGCCAGATAGCGAGATAGACAGACAGCCAGAGAGCGAGATAGACAGACAGCCAGAGAGCGAGATAGACAGACAGCCAGAGAGCGAGATAGACAGACAGCCAGAGAGCGAGATAGACAGACAGCCAGAGAGCGAGACAGACAGAGAGAAAGAGAAACAATGAAACAGCAACAGATTTCCCTTACCATCTTACCGCTAGCGCCTTGACAGTCCGCCCCGCCCCCCTCGACGATAGCGGCGAACGTAAACACACAACACACATTCCACGCAATGCACTTCCTCACGACACAAGGAAGAGGGGGGGGGGGAGGAGAAGGAGAAAAGAGGTGAATTAGCCACTTTGAAAATGGAGCTAATGGACGTCACGCCCCCGAAAGAGCCACTGGCACTCT